TGGTTTTTTAATGTCACACATTACAAAAGTTGTAAAAGTGTCAAATGTAATTTCCAAAATTGTCAAATCCTGTGCCTATATTTTTATGAGTGTAAAACTTGATAAATGAACACGAAATCATTGTCAGAAATTTTGACATTTTTTGAGACGAATAGTAATTATATCAAAATTCTTGACGATTTTCGAATATTTTTTTGAAAAAATATACAAACACTAAAATTACCACTGTTAGACACCAATAATATTACTGACTACAAATTTTAATATTTTGAGAAACAAATGACGAAATTTGACAATTTTTGAATATACTTTTTTTTCATAATTACGTATTTATTTTAAAGTTTTATTACGAGTATCTAAAAAAACTCGTTAAATAATAATTTTGTAATAATTTAATGTCACACTATTAATGCAAGACAACGTTGCAAAATGATGATAACTTAACCAAATTTCCAAAGAAATATATGATAAAATTCCAAAATTGTCAAATTTTGTCAACTTGAAAATTGTCAAATGAACACAAAATTTAGCAATTTATAGTTTTAAAATGGTAGTCAAAAAGTTTTACATTTTTTTGAGAATATTTGCTTTCTTCTGTTCGAAGAATAATTGCTTAATTTGTGCTTACAAAAACAATAATATCTGTCAAAAGTGACAGTTTTTGAATATTTTTTCGAAAAATGTAAGTACAAATGCTAAAGTTACAACTTTTTGACACCAATAATAATATTGACCACAAACTGAAACATTTATTTATATGGCTTTGCTATTTAATTTTTTTTTTTTCATAAATGACAAGAGTTGACTATTTTTGATTTTTTTTCGATTATTTATATTAAAAATATCAATTTTTATTTCCATTAAGGGTTTAATAGCAAAATTTGAAAAAAGCCGATAAATACGAGTACCTATTAAATTAGCAGTTTATTTAGCAATTTTTAAAAAAATACAAAATTGTAAAAATGATTATAAACAAATTAAATTTTCAAAAAAATCATAGTTTAAAGTTTTGATCGAGTGGAAAACAGCGTAAATGAACACAAAATTCACCAGTTTGCGTTTTCTAATAATTGTCAAAAAATTTATTTGACATTTTCTGAGATTAGTTTTTGTCTGTTCAATTGTCAATTTCAGTATTTTGTAAAAAAACGTAAATATGACTTATATAATTCCTTTTTGGAAAATTGCAATTGACAAAAAACTGACAATTTTTGAATAATTTTTTTCTCGATAATTTATATAAAAACACCATTTTTTATTCTTATTTACGTATTTCATGGTTTTGATACCAAAATTTAAAATAAATTGTTAAAATTCTCGAAACTCTCAAATGTTGTCAACTTGTTACCATTTGGAGTTACTGTATATTCATGGAAAATGTGTTAAATGAACACAAAATTTAGCAATTTGTGGTTTCAAAATGGTAGTAAATTTTTTTTTTAATTTTTTGAGAATATTTGCTTTCTTTTGTTCGAAGAATAATTGTTTAATTTGTGCTCACAAAAACAATAAAATATGTCAAAATTGACAGTTTTTGAATATTTTTTGGAAGAATGTACAAATGCTAAAATTACAACTTTTTGAGTACAAACTAAAGCAAACATTTATATGGCTTTCCTATTTGAAATTTTTTTCGTTAATGACAATATCTGACTATTTTTGTCAGTTTATTTGACAATTTTTAAAAAAATGCAAAATTTTAAAAAAGATTATAAAGAAACTAAACTTTCAAAAAAAGGATAGTTAAAGTTATGTTATGTTAAACAAATAATTGTCAAAAAATTTGTTTGACATTTTTTGAGATTAATTTTTCTCAGTTCACTTGTCAATTTCAGTATTTTATAAAAAAAAGTAAATATGGCTTTGTTATATGACAATTGTCAAAAAATTGACAATTTTTGAATATTTTTTCGATAATTTATATTAAAACACCAATTTTTTATTTTTATTTATTTATTTTAGGGTTTTAATACCAAAATCTAAAAAGCAAAAAATTGTTGATAATTTTTGAAATACAGTCTCAATTTTAACTGCAATGCTAATTTTTGCGATGGAATCACTTTCTGTAATAATTCTAGAGTTTCTCGGAGGAAATAAGTCAATTTCACAGAGCTTTCGGTAGTCAGAGTCAGAATGCGGAAAAACGTAAGGTTCGTTGTCTGGAAATTCACTCCAGGGAGTGGAAATATTCTTCCAGTTCCTGGAAACTTCTTGACATATGAAAGAAATATTTCGTGCGGACTCCTGGGGCAAACTTGAAGGAATTGCTGGATTTGTTTCGATGTTAAAAAAATTATAAAATAACACAAGGCGACAAAAAAAGTCGTTTTATATCATTTTGTTCGTCTCAGTAAGACAAATCAAATGCACTAAAAAAAAATACAAAAAGTCCACACCCTTTGAACTAAATAATTTTTTTCTAATTTAAATGAATTTAAAATATTTTAACTTTAAAAAATCATTACTCAATAACTATTAGGCCGATTTCCTTCAAATAAAGACCATTCTAAAGGGATGGCCTTGCCCTTTAGGATGATATGAAATTTGAAATTGAATATTGGCAAACAAAAGTAAATCGAATTAATCTAAGAACAACCCTACGAGTATTTTTTTTTTCTTTGTCACCATCGTGTAGAGCATCTTTTTATTAGTACGAATCCAAATTTTTAAAATAATATACCGAGTAGTTTTTAAGATCTGATTTTTTAAAATTAAGGTTTGCTATTCAGGTATTGCGCCATATAGGAGAAATGCATGTTAATCTTACTTAAAATTGCATTTTTATAAAAGTATTTGTTTTAAGACTCTTCTTTTGCTTAAAAATGGTCAATTGCACCTTCTTTGTTCTAATTAGAATAAACAAAAACTGTTTCTTTACTTAAAACAAACAAAGAGTACTAATTAAAGCAAATAAAGAGTTTTTTTGTTGTAAAAATGACCACTGATCAATGAGCAAAGGCAGTAGCTTTAAATATAAGAACACATCTTTTTCAAATTAAATGATTTTCCATTCAGATTTCAACTTGTTCACTTTGTTCTAGCTTTCTGAACTTTTTTTTTTAAATGTTCTCAGCAAATGTTTTTTCATCACTTTCTACTGATGTTGAATGTAATAAGTCAGTTGCTTCGTGTGCAACTGTTATCACAACAACTACTACCTACAAGCTAACTGAAGATAATCGTAGAATGTACCAACAAAATAAATCAGGTGACTTATTGCATTTAACATCACTCGAAAGTGATGAGAAAGCATTTGCTCAGAAAATTTTCAAAAAAAGTTCAGAAAGCTAGAACAAAGTGAACAAGTCGAAATCTGAATGGAAAGTGATTTGATTTGAAAAATATTTGCCCTTATATTTAAGGCTCGTGCCTTAAACTTCTAGATTCTCTTTGCTCAATGATCAGTGGTTATTTTCACAACAAAAAACTCTTTATTTGCTTTAATTAGTACGCAGGAACTCTTTATTTGTTTTAAGTAAACAAACAGTTTTTGTTTATTCTAATTAGAACAAAAAAGGTGAAATTAACCATTTTTAAGCAAAAGAAGAGTCCTAAAACAAATACTTTTATAAAAATGCAATTTTAAGTAAGATTAACATGCATTTCTCCTATACAGGGCTTTCATTTCAAAAGGATCCAGTTTCAATAACTTTTGACATTGAGTAAATGGATTTTCAAGCAAAAACAGGTCGATTAGGGGAAGTTGAAAACCAACATTAGTTGCATTTTAAGTTTTATCCCCTACTTTAGAATTTTAAATGGCACTCGCTACTTTTTGAAACATTTTCAGAAAGGGAATCAATGAGCGTATCTAACTATCAAAGAAAAAAAAATTGTCGATTCGTTTTTTAGTTAAGGTTGGTTTAATTTTTGAAATTGTTAATTCTAGTAGCCTTTGATTCAGCTCAATTTAATTTAAATAAAAGTAATTTTTTAATTAACTTAACTGTCATATAGTAAATTTTGGCTGAATTGTTGAAATCACCATCTTCTTAATAAAATGTATTAGATGACACATAATCAAAGTTAAAGGCTACTAGGTCTGATGGAAATTTCTAAAATAAAACTACCCTTAACTCAAAAACGAATCGACAAAATTTTTTTTTTCGTTTACAGTCAGATAAGCTTTTTTCCATCTCTTTCAAAAATATTTCAAAATGTTGGAGGGGTTCTTTAAAATTTTAAAGTAAAGGTGGTTGGTGACTAGGGGATGAAACCTGAAACGTATTTAATGTTGGTTTTGAATTCTCCCATCGCAATCCATATCGACATATTTTTGATTTAAATTAAATTGAGTTCAATCAAAAGCTACTAGGACTGAAAATTTCAAAAATAAAACCACCCCTTACTGAAAAACGAATCGACATTTTTTTTTCTTTGACATTTAGATACGCTCATTGATTCCCTTTCTGAAAATGTTTCAAAAAGTAGGGGGTGCCATTTAAAATTCTAAAGTAAGGGTGGCTAGCGACTAGGGGATGAAACTTAATTAATAACTAATGTTGTTTTTGCTTGAAAATACATTTACTCAATGTCAAAAGTTATTGAGACTTTTGAACTGAAAGCCCTGTATGGAGCAATGCTTGATTAGCAATCCATAACTTCAAAAAATCATATCTTAAAAACTACTCGGTATATTTTTTTGGATTACAACTAATAGAGATGCTCTACACGATGGTAATGATAAAAAAAATACTCGTAGGGTTTTTCTTAGATTATTTCGATTTACTTCGAACTTCTTCGAACACTGTTCGAAGAAAAGTTTGCCAATAGTTATTGACTAATGATTTTTTAATATTAAAGTATTTTAAATTCATTTAAATTAGAAAAAAATTATTTAGTTCAAAGTGTGTGGACTTTTTAAAAAAAAAATTAGTGTATTTGATTTGTCTCACTGAGACGAACAAAATGATATAAAATTTGTCAAGTTGTCACAACATGACTTTTTTTTGTCGCCTTGTAATAATTCAAAATATTGATTTTTTTGTGTTTTTTTTCAGCTGTTCCGTTTCCACCGAGTCATAAGTTGACAGTGGCCGAAGTGTTTGACCAGCGGACGGCAAAACCGCGACCGGACGTGTTAAAACAGCACTTTATATTGGAGGGTCGAATCGATGAAGCAGCAGCTCTCCGAATCATCAATGAAGGCGCACAACTCCTACGCGCCGAAAAGACGATGATAGATATAGAAGCTCCCGTCACAGGTCAGTCCACATAAACAATCATTCCGGTTTCTAATCATTATCACCAGACGAAATAAGAATTTTTTAATCATCGCCAAGTGATTATTATTTATTTACACATCAGCGGACTATGAACGCACAACCTTGACCTCGAAAAACTGATTTATTTTTAAGTCTGCGGCATTACAACATCATAAAATACTGATTTCGAGCATCCTCAAACATCTAATGACATAATTCAACACGAAGATTACTCATTTGGCAGAACCGGCGCATCCACCATTTTTTTTTTACCAAAGTGGACTGTGGAATTCAGTTGGCAACATTGAATTATCACCAATCTTGCAACTATAAATCTATTGGCAACACTGAATTATTGGTAATCCAGGGGAATGACAATTGACTATAGTCAAAAATCACACTCATTGACAGTCAAGTTGTTTCAAGTGGCGGCTATCTTAGTATCCGACCCGTCATAAATCAATGACACTCGAATATGAAATTGTGACGTTTGTATTTGACAGTCAGTGTTGCCAAATTAACAATTTATTAACAACAAAAATCACATGATTTACACAGTCAAACGTTGACATTTCAATTTGATAGTCACTATTGCCAAATCAAGATTTCCCATTTGTTGCCAACATGATGAGAAAAATTATACTTATTGATAGTCAAGTTGTTTCAGGTGACGGCTATCTCGTTAACCGACCCGTCATAAATTAATGACATTTGAATATAAAATTGTGACGGTTGTATTTGACAATCAGTGTTGCCAAATTAATAATTTATAGTCTATTTAACGACAAATATCACATGATTTACACAGTCAAACCACACTATTCCGTTGACATTTCAATTTGATAGTCAGTATTGCCAAATTAAGATTTCACATTTATTGCCAACATGATGACAAAAATCATACTTATTGATAGTCAAGTGGTTTCAGGTAATGGCTAACTCGGCAACTGACCCGTCATAAATTTATGACAATTGAATATGAAATTTTGACGTTTGTATTTGACAGTCAGTGTTGCCAAATTAAGAATTTATGGTCTATTTAAAGACAAAAATCACATAATTTATAGTCAAACTAGACTATCCCTTTGACATTTAAATTTGATAGTCAGTATTGCCAAATTAAGATTTCACCTTTATTGCCAACATGATGACAAAAATTATACTTATTGATGGTCAAGTTGTTTCAGGTGACGGCTATCTCGTTAACAGACCCCTCATAAATTAATGACACTTTAATATAAAATTGTGACGTTTGTATATGACAGTCAATGTTGCCAAATTAAGAATTTATGATCTGTTTTGCGATAAAAATCACATGATTTACACAGTCAAACTACACTATTCCATTGACATTTAAATTTAATAGTCAGCATTGCCAAATTAAGATTTCACATTTATTGCCAACATGATGACAAAAATCAAACTTATTTATAGTCAAGTTGTTTCAGGTGACGGCTATCTCGTTAAAAGACCCGTCATAAATGAATGACAATTGAATATGAAATTGTGACGTTTGTATTTGATAGTCAATGTTGTCAAATTAAGATTTTCGATTTATTGCCAACATGACAAAAAAGGTGACGGGTATTTGAACAACAGTCCCGTCATAAATGCATGACAATTGAATATGAAAACGTGACGTTTGTATATGACAGTCAGTGTTGCCACATTTATTTAACGACACAATTACCACACTATCCCGTGTTGCCAATTTAATTTCAAGTCAGGGACTACTTTGATTAGTAATTTAATTGAAGCTGTCCGCCTGTATGAGCGTATGATTAAATAAAACTATTGCATATTGATTTTCATGTTTCACGTTTCAACTAACCAACAAAATACCACAACCATCGAATAAATAACTAAATTTAAATGTTTGTAATTGTGAAAATTTAAAGCTTATTTAAAAATTGCAAACATTTTTAATATTCCGGATTGGACTCGTTTAATTACTCGCAGTGTGCATTAAAATGATGATTAAATATTCATTTGCGACACTTGTGAAGGAGTTTTTACATTGAAACCAAGCAATTCGCATAAATTTACCTTCATTATGGCCACTTGCAATTCATTTGGTCAGCTTGTGTCCCACTAGTTGGGTAAACATGGCCATTAGACGACTTGCAACTAGTCTCTAATTGGGTAGTTTAGAAAGTACGGTAAGTCCGGGAAAATGGACCACATTTTGTGAAATTATGTTTTTTCTCATAGCAAAAGTAACAAAACAAAAACACATTCTTTCAAACACATGAAAAAAAATTCAATATGTATATGTATTATGATGTGTAAAAAAAGTCCATCTCTCCCGGCTTTACCCTATATCAAAGAAATAAATTCGTTAACACGAATGAGTTTCTATTTTCGGCAATATTTTATCTATAATCTCGAGAAAAAGTTCAACGACCGGGAAATAATTCTCCCAATTTCGGCGAACGAAGAAAAAAAAAGAAAATTTGTGTTTTTTTCACATTTATTAACACACTTGTTACATAGTTGAGAAAGATTAAAAGCCGATATCCTGCTGTACAAGAATTCTCGGAAAATTAATGATATTATAAATCTCTTCGACAGCAACACATGTTGTCACAATATTTAGCATTTTTTCAAATTACTAAGCTTTTTGCCACAACCGCAAAAACATCAAAGTGGGTAAATATTGATGTCATTTAATAATTACTTATTTGTGCTTCCTCTAATTACACCGAGAATGTTTACTTTTTTGCACACGAGGAACTTAATAAATCTGTTTAGTTTTTATTACAAAACTAGTCTTGAGTTTCTTGTTTTTCAATAAATAACTCGGGTTTTTAGTCACATCACCTGAATTTGTCAGATTTTCGCATAATGTAATTTTGTTTGTTTTTGGGAGGAAAATCAATCAAATCAAATTCAAATATTTTTCTTACATTTTTGAAAAATCTGAGTACTTTACACATCAAGATATCTTTTTTATGTATTTAAAAGAATTTGTTTTTGTTTTGTTACTATAATAAGTTGTCTATTGAAAAAAAAAACATTCGTGGTTTGAATAAAAATCAAGTTTTTCAAATTTGAAATTTCATTTTTCAAAAAATTCAAAATTTTTACACAATTAAAAAGCTGTACTATTTATAGTAGTTTCAAAAGAGGAATTACGTGTTGTAAATGTTAAAATTTTGAAAATTTAATTAATAGAAGGTTTCTGTACTTCAAAAAAGATCTTTAAAAATGAAACTTGACAAATTTCCATTTTTAAACTTAAAATTTTCTCTCAAACTTGATTTCTTTAAATTCTTACATTCATAGTCAAAATTCTTGCATAGACTTTAAAAAATTAAAAAAATTTCTAGACATTAAAAATTTCTTAAAGAAATGCTTAAATTTAAAAAAATGTCAATCGAGATTTTTTTAAAACATCGTATTGCAAAGACAATATCTAGATTTGCAAAAAAACGTTTAAATTTTTTTTTAATAAAAATTCTCAAATTTAAAAAAGGTAAATTGAGATTTTTCAAAAATGTGTTATAAAAGACAGTTGGGGAGATGTCAAGAAATACCGACTTATAAAATCTCTAGACTTGCAAAAAAAAAACATTTGGCAGGAAAATCAAATTCAAATTAATTTTCCTACATTTTTGAAAAATCTTAGTACTCTATACATGAAGATATTTTTTTATGTATTTAAAAGAATTTGTTTTTGTTTTGTTACTTTAATAAGTTGTCTAATGAGAAAAAACATTTGTGGTTCGAGTAAAAACAAGTTTTTCAATTTGAAATTTAATTTTTCAAAAAAATCAAAATTTTCACACAATTAAAAAGCTATACTATTTATAGTAGTTTCAAAAGAGGAATTACGTGTTGTAAATTTTAAAATTTTAAAAATCTAATTAATACAAGGTTTCCGTGCTTCAAAAAAGATCTTTAAAAATGCAATTTGACAAATTTCCATTCTTTAACTTAAAATTTTTTCGTTCAAACCTGATTTCTTTAAATTCTTTCATTCACAGTCATTAAATTCCGATTTATAAACCGGTAATTAGTCTCTCTACTTTCTCTCTAGTTTCAAAATTTTAACAAAAAAGGTGAAAAATTTTTCATTTAAAAATTATAGTATTAGTCTATAATAACTTTATTTTTTCCCGATTTATCTTAGTTGCCACTTAGAATTCTGATTTTAAAGCGAAGAATTTTGATCCTAAATTCATTAAAATCTGCCGTTCTAATCAAAATTTCAGTTTATAAGCATTTTTATCATCGTGACTTTTCAAAACATAGTGCTGCGAAAGAGGGGAAATTAAGAGAAAGTGTCTTCATCTGGCTTACAAATTTTTAAAATAAAAATGCTCACATTTTTAAAAAATGTAAATTGATATTTTTGAAAAATGTGTACAAAAGACAGTTGGAGATACTAAAAAAATGTCAAGAAATACCGACTTAATTTCTAGACTTGCAAAAAAACTTTTTTTAAAACATTGTTTTACAAAAGACAGTGGAGGAGACTAAGGAAGTATCTAGAAATACCGGTTTAAACAATATCTAGATTTGCAAAAAAACGTTTAAAAATTTTCAAAATAAAAATGCTCAAATTAAAAAAGGTAAATTTAGATTTTTGAAAAATGTGTTACAAAAGACATTTGGGGAGACTAAAAAAAATTTAAGAAATACCGGCTTATAAAATCTCTAAACTTACAAAAAAACATTTAAAAATTTCTTTAAAAAAATCCTTAAATTAAAAAAATGTCAATCGAGACTTTTTTAAAACATCAAGAAAAGTTTTTGATTTTTCAGTTTAGAAATGCCAACTATTTGATTTCTAAGCCATACGAGCGCAGTTTCTAGTTCTCGTCTATTTTTACCACCTTTAATTTTTTCAAATTTCAAGAAAAGCAAAATCCTATTTCGCCAGCTTGAGTGGTTATTTCGGAACTGGTCTAAAAATGTGTCATTCCTATGATGACATCGTTTTGAAAGTCTGCATTTAGCTCATTTGTTTTCACATTTGTTCGTTAACTACAGTTGGC